CCAAAGAGCAGTTAATCACTTGAAAACAGGTGTAATGCATCAGAACCCACAGAATAAGTAATAAAAATTTAAGGGTTATAAGCAATAACCAATATTTGAAATAATGGAGAAGATTTCTTGCTTAGATATGGTATGTTGTTCCACAGGCCATGATATTTGGATATGAACCTTTTTTCATTAAGCTTAATGACATCGTTAGCACTAACTCAATAAACTTCCTAATAAGGTTAGTATTAAATACGATACAAAAATTAATGTTGAATTACCGATGTTCCACTAAAAGAAACCATATAGTTGTAAGGGAAAATTCTCGAAAATTATGATAAAATTTATGAAACTTATCACTAGACCTTCGGTCGATTAACAGGCTGTTATTCCCATGACAGTTAAACATTAGTTTCAATGGTTGCACCTGGTTAGTAGGTGTATCTCTCAGTCCAGCTGACAGACTATCATACTAGTCGTCTGAAGGTCACCGGTTTAGATCCTGCACCACGTCAGATTTTCACTGCACTTTTTATCATCACACAATACATCAATTACACTCCGATAGTCCAAGGCTATCCAAGTTAGTCTTACTAGAAAATCAAGAAATTATTACAAGCTACTAATAAGTAGCTGAACTAGTCCAAAGAATTTGTAATGCCATTCTGTAGTACTAGAATAGGAATTCACAGATTTCTTCAACAACTGTCAAACAATTATTTCATTCTGCAACGCCGCTTTGTTTTGTAAGTCAAAAAAGGTTGTGTGTTTTAGAAAGTTAACTAACAAAGACGTTGAAAAAATTAGGGTAAAATAGGGTAGAAATAATTACACCGTAAAATCATGAGAACTTATGTAGGTGGTTACATAATTAATAAGAATAAATGAATGGTCAAACCATTGATTGTAATTGCATGATAACAATTCAAAGTAAGGCAAGTAAATTATTACGGAATCTGGGATAGTAGTAGTTCGTATTTAGGACAGCTTTTGTGTTTAAACATGTGCAATCGCTGAGATGGCTAAGGGAAACAAAGTGTTTATAAGAATAACTTCAGAGAGAACATGTTTGGCCAATTAGTGCGATTCCCTGTGACTTCTGTTTCATATAAAGGACCAGCTGGCAAGACGATACCAGGATCACAAGCAACGAGATAAATACCCCTAATATCCTTGCCAGTACGGATTCTGTACAGTATCGTGAGGATGTGCTAGAAGACAGCAACGAATCGACTATATTTCACCCTTCCTCGCTAAACAGATTAGTGTTCGGAATAAGAATAATAACATGGCCAATCTAAATAATTTCACAAAAGCAGTCTGGCTGGTAGATACATATAATGAAGAGAAAAGTACGTATTTTATCCTTATTGTCGAAAACACTATCAGTCGATTCATCAATAAATATGACAACTCTGTTGCACTGAGAACTTTTTTCCATGCACTTTATACATCACGTTACATCTTCACCAAGCTGCAGTTTTAAGAAGACCATCTTCCTCGGGATATCTACTCACTAGCTTTACTATGCGCCAATTTTCTATATTTATGAAGGTTTCCCACGGTAACCAATTTTTGTTGAATAATTTCTGAATGTTTTAATTGTGAAATGCTCGCCAGCCGTGCATATTGTCCGAGTTTGACTACCAACTGACGCACTCCTAAACCCCACCTAGTTTACTAGCAGATATCACATCCTCAAAAGAGCAAAGATGAACAGATTAACCCAGTTGTATGAACCAGCTGTTTTCAAAAATATACAGAGCTGACCCATCCGTCTTGATTTTTTAGATATGTTGCCTTTTTCCGCGTCATCTTGTTTCCTGTTTCAAAAAGTATCTAGAAATACTTTCACTTTATCCTATCCTAATGTAGCTGACCCATAGCCAAACCATTTGCTTTATCAACTTGTCACATACAAAAACTATTTGATCCACCAACAATATGTTAGTAGATAAAGAAAACAAAGAAATCAAAAGAAATAATGGAACTATAATTCATATTCAAATCTCTTATCCTTTCAACGAAATGAGAGCTATATTTCAAAGTGTGTTTTATCATTTCGCTATGCGACGGCCGAATGAGTTTCACCATCTACCCAGCTGTCAGACAATGTAGAAAGCAGAAAATATGTAACAGTAATCGAATATGTAACCTATTTTTATGCTCTTTTGATAACTTACAAATTTTTGGTGTAATAGTATCAGTCGGTTTAAGTACATGACATCCCATTTAAAAACCTACTTTCAAATTCATTTAACCATTTCTCAATCTTCTCTTCGAATCAGCAGTGTATTTTTCCCCTTTACGTTTCCAGTGGAACACAGGGCTTCAAGCTATTGTCTTGAAGTTTTAGTAGCAGTGGTATTTAATTTTACAAGATAGGGTTGCTAGCTGTGGTCATTGACAATTTCTATCTCTGTATTGTTTAAATACTTACAGTTGATTGTTAATATGTTTCTTATATGAAGTGCATTATAATACCGCTAAATACAAATTCCTGAATTCCGCCCTCTCTGTGTTTTGGTTGGATTTGTGTGATTCGGTCATCTCGAAATACTAATACTACGATTACAAATAATTACAACACTAGCCTTATGCCTAACCTTCATTCTATACCAGTCTTATTACTGGCTTAGCGATGTAAAGGAGTGCGTCGGCCGGGAACCCAACCCGAGACCACATGCTTGATCGGGGAGCCACCGGCTAAGCCACCGACACACATCAACAGTAGTTTAGATTTTCTGTACCTTATGATATTTACTTAGTAAACCGTTCACCTGATGGAGAGTATCTCATCTTGCTCAGAAGACCTACTTGCTAACCCTTATAAGGTTTCATTAACACTGTATCCTGATTTTCTTTTCACAGTTTAATTATGGCTTTCCTGCTTTTTGGTCAACGCGTTACTCTTATTCTTTCTACTGTTCGTATATATATTTATGAGTGAAATCAACCAGGGCAGACTTAGGTGTTTCATTCACGTCCCTTGATAAAGGTGTCAGTTCTTCAGTTTGTGTTTAGAGGTTTCCAAATCGTATATTCATTTTATCAGCTGTAGTGCAACTACTATGGAGGGCGAATACTTGCAAAACTACCATTTTAAAGTAAACATTTCAAAAACCACAGTCATATAGACCAAAGTTTTGGAGGGCAAATTACTTTTTGGATTTGAATTTTTCAAGCTAGTAATCAGTTTATTCCGTTTATTTCCCTTTCTTTTGCTAGCGATTTCGTATATACAATTGAAAAAAAATTCTAGAGATTTGAAAGTTCACCATAGTATTGAGTTTTTCTGCAGATTAAATCAGTCAAATATTGCGTATATAGTACATCAGTTATTATTATTATCGGTCACTTAGTTGATAACTGGTAAAATTCTGTAAAGACAACATGAAACGAAATTCCCTCACGTCCAAGGTCTCCACCTTTGAACTTAGAATATTGTGAAGATAATTAGTGTAACAAATGGTACAGGAATAACTTTAGACTGTTTCTAGTTGATGTGTTTCCATAGTTTTTATGTTCTTTGTGTTTTGACATTGTCAGTTTATATACACGTATACCAATAAATATGACTATAGAGGCAGTCAGAAGCGAACTCATTTCTGACCAACAACTCGAACTTAGGACGAAAGAGCCACTTGAAGACATAATGCTGGGAGTGCAGCTATGCCTGACTTCTACAGTATTTAAATTCCAGGGGAAAATACACAAACAAACTGAGGGAGTTGCCATGGGATCACCAATATCCCCGGTGTAGCAGATATATTCAATGGATAGGTGGGAAAACATAGCGACTGAAACGTTTACCCCCACCCCAAAAGTATGGTGGAGGTATGTAGACGACACATTCACTGTACTTAGAACACAGTATATAGAAGGATTTTTCGAACACACTAACTCAAAGGTGGAGGCAATTCAATTCACTTATGAATTGGAAAGTCAGGAAGGGGAATTTCCAATGTTAGATTGCAGCGTAAAGAGGAAAGAAGACGGGAAGTTAAACACTAGTGTTTACAGGAAACGCACACATTCAAACAGATATTTGGATTTCCGATCATCCCACCTTATGTCAACGGAAGTAGGATTATTGAAATGTTTAAAGTAGTAGAGTACGAAAACTAAGTAGTACCAAGGAAAATGTGAGACATGAAGTGAGACATATAAGAGAAGCTTAGAAACTTAATAATTACCCTGATAAATCAGTCAGAAAGTATGAAGGGAAATGTAAAAATAAAGTAAATAATGATAGTAGTGATGGCGATAATAACAATAATAATAGTAATATTAATGACGGCACGCATGTCAAACATGAGCAAGATAACACCAACAATAAGGAATCTAAATCATCAGTAGTACTTCCATACAAGGAAGGAACCTCTGAAACCTTACAGCGGAGAATTCTTAACAAGGCAGGAATAAAAGTGGCTGATATTCAAACCAACCACAAACTGATTTAGAAGCACGCTTTGTCGGTTAACAGATCCTGTGGAGCCTTTAAAACAAAACAGTTTGGTTTATCTAATACCCTGCTTGTATTGATTATCAGGTCAAATACATGGGGCAAAGTAGGGGAACAGGTGTAGTCAGACTACCAGAGCATAAAACCTAGGAAAATCTAGATTAGTTGACCCGAATAAGATAAGAAATCTAGAGAATCGTTCAGCTATAGCACCACAGCACATGCAATTACACTGAACACAGCCATACAATAGGATGGGATAGGATGACAGTTTTAAAATCTAATGTAACAACAGGCTGGGAGGGAGATATTGATGACAGTGACAGCTTTGTTTGTTGAATCAACTGCACACACGTGTAATGGACATGATTCAACACCTGTCTCAGATATCTGGAAAATTCTACTACCCCTACGACAAATAGGAAAGAACAAAAAGGGACTATAAACCTCAAGTTCCGAAGTCGTGTGATTATAATTGGTATGATTATGAACAATAATAAATTGTGTTCGAAACCTTGTCATCCAGTAAATAATACTGTTTCACTGTGTGATACATCTAATAAACAAACTAATATGGAACTACTTACTACCACAGTGCCCAAGTTTTACACATATGTTATTCTTTGTGCTTTTCTTTTTTATATGCAAGACTTTTGACGTAACCATTGAACGGCTTCATGGAATATATACCATATGTTTATGCTTAAATGATGACCACTACAGACTATCCACAATTTGAAGCTGAATGCTTTCAGTACATGTCGTATTCAAATTACTTAAAATATTAAGTATACAATATGTTTAAAAAATACAAACATCAACAACAGTGAGAGTGAAAATAATCGTAATTTTTTTTCAAACAGACTTTTGGCTCTCATTGATGTCTCGACAAAGTTTTGCTTTGAATGAGATATATGGTGAATTTTCACACAACAGATTTGTTGATTTATTCCACCTTCTCTCTTTTTTGCGCTTGGAAGTATTTCGTGAACTTGATTTGAAAAAGGATTTAGCGCTCAAAGCTAATTTTCTTTTGATTGCTTTATTGTTATACCAATCTTCTTGGGTTAATTCGAAGCTTCCTGAATGTAAATAATCATTACAATAAGCGTACTTTTCTTTCTTAGATAGAATTTCATAATACAGTTCATTTTTTGAAATTACTGACGAATTAAGAGATTGAATACTGTAATTATAAATGATATTTTTGTTTTCGTTGTAATGCTCATCAAATATAAGCGAATTGTAAAAACTCTTGTCTTTTGAAAGTGGTCGTTTTGAAGATCTATCCATTGTTGAACAGCTTTTTGACAAGTACCTTCTTTTATTTTTGCTTAAATCCTTTGTTAGAAAAATATTACCTTCATTCTTATCGGTGAAACTATACTGGCTAACTTGATCAGTATCGATTTTTGTCAGAGATGACTGCGTTGATTTGATAGATAAACTCCTTGGAGATGATTTCAAATTAGTTAAAAGTGACGATACACAAAACTCTTTGAATAATGCCTTCATCATTTCACAGGTTGGGAATAAATTTGCTCGAAAACTACTTGATAAAGTTTGACAGTGTAGTCTTAGACTTGTAATTCGATTGATGGCGCAATAGGCTAAACGGGGTAACAGATCCCTTATATGCAGTATTGAATTTCCAGTTATTTGTCTCATTGGAACTGCCATAATATTTTCTTGCAGACACCAGTTTAGTGGTGCATATAAACGTTCTGTAAACAACAAACCACTGTTTTTCAAACACTTTACACAGTTTTTTTCTTCAGTAGACTGAAGCACTGAATAGCTACTGAATGTATCCAAACTCTTATTAAATAATTCCTCTAAATTCTTACTTATATTGCTATTACCTGTTTCAAGGACAATTAAATCAAAGTCTTCGTCAACCAAATGAAATCCTGTTACTAACTGATCCATCAAATAATGATCCTGTTCACTATTTATTTTAGTAGAATATAAAGATGTTGAACTTGAAGGTCGTGAATAAATGCATGGAATATATTGTGACTGCCTAGAATTTATATTTGCTTGTATTATGTGCACTGGTAAGTCTTCCGATATCCCTAGGTGATGTGCATTGGATTTCAGAACGAATGATTTGATATGTTTGACTACTTCAGGAAAATGTACATCTGCAACGTGCAACAAGTAAGAGAAAACAAGTTTTAACCAAATTAATCTTCATTTTAAGTGATAAAATTTTGCTAAATCAGAAATTCAGATGCAGAAAAGAGGGATTTCTAATGCACCTATGATCATCATTGATGCATCAACAAATCAGTATTCTAGTAACAACCTATTTAAAGCCAAGTTAACTATTTTAAAACATTTTGTAGGTGCATAGTCTGTTATAATGACATAAATTTTCTAATTAAATGTTGTTTCCGTAAAAATTTAGAACTCTCTACTTTTTTGAAGAATATTTAGCTAACTATTCTTTTTAATGCTTGCTAACTTCATTTAATGTATTGCTTCAGTTTGCGAAAGTCTAGTGAGCTTATTGATAAGTCTTCGTACAGGAAGACCATAAGTCATGTCAATATATGTGTAAAACTTGGGCACTGTGGTGGTAAGTAATTCTACTACCCCTTCGACAAATAGGAGAGGACAAAGGAAACTATAAAACTCAAGTTTCAAAGTCGTGTGACTTTAATTGATATGATTATGAGCAATAAATTTTGTTCGAAAAATCATCCAGTAAATAATACTGTTTCACTGTGTGATACATCTAATTAACAAGCTAATATGGAATTGTATGGAGGATTTCACCATAAGCTGACATCAGTTAGAGAACCACTGGAAAACCTGGGAGTACTGGATAGATGTTTCGTCCTAGTTTGGGACTCTTCATCAGTACGCGTCCACACTACGGGGTTCGGACCCAGGACCTTCTGGTTACAAGGCGAGCTCGTAGACCATTGAGCCACTGGGAACCGATCCAATGGTTCTTGAATTCTAACTTCTGCAGTTCACGAAGTAGCGCGACCAATTCGCAATGTCTTCTTCGATGAGTTACTGCCCATCTTCGACCTGCTGTACACTACTGGTCACAGCTTCCCACTAGAACCCCAGATTAAATGCCTGAATAGGGCCAGTCACTAGTGAGCATCAGATTAATTTTAAAGTATTGGTTTTTTAGGGATTTTGTTTGATTGTATGGTGAAATCCTCCACACAATCAAACAAAATCCCTACAAAATCAATACTTGATAATATGGAATTCATTTACTGTAACTATCTGTATCATTCCTTACTTATATTAATTAACTAACTGTTTACGTCATAAACATTTTATAAGAATCCAGCGAATATAACTGAAAATAAGCTCGATTTATCTTGCTAAATTTGCTGTTGATGTAAGAGTAGAATTTAGGCATTGTAGTGTGGAATTACATTTGTTGCTTCATTCAAGTTTATCTTAATTCCTTTGATGTCTGATAATAATAAGATGTCCTTCTCACTTAACTCGAGGGGCATTTGACTGCATTTCCTCTCTGGTAGGTGAGTAAGATGCTCAGGGAATATGGGTACTGACCTGTGAATATCGTGAGTGGTTGAGCATCTGGTTAGGCACTAGATATTTCCCTAAGCGCACCACACAATTAAATTTCAAAATAATTACTCGCCTACTTATTAGTAGCTAATTAATTAGATAACATAAATTCGACTTTAACTTTACCTTGTTTATTGCTTCCAGCTTTCTCCAAAATGAAAACCATTCGTTCAAAAGTCTTCACATTTCCAGGCGTAGTATTTATCTGAAGTAACTCATTTAAGTTAATATTTATCTCGATTTCAATCGATAAGTGACACTGCCAGTCTACGTAACCAATATAATCTCGCGAAATATGCCTGGGGTTCCCCTTAATGCTTTTACTGCACTTATGTAAGTCTAGGTCAGATTCGCTTACTGGTAACACCGGTAATTTTTGTTTCATGGTGGCACATTTCAGCCAGACCATTTCGCTCAAATCAACGTTGATTCTTCCAGTTGGAAATTCTATTGATTCATCATTTGTTTCATCATTTTTTTGATCGGTATCTTCTACTGAAAAGGTGTTTGTCCGTAAATTTGGTTGAACTTCACCGATTTTATCATCATTTGGTTCGGTACAAAATAAACCACCTAAATCGTTTCTTTTGGGTTTGTTCATTTTAGCCGGTTTACGTCCTCGATCATGTAAGTCAATGATTATAGGTGTAGTCTGAATCAGTTCACGCAATTGAGAGCAATCAACTTTATTTGTTAGAATTACCTGTAGTAAATTTTACAAAAATATTGCTATAATATTACAACTAAGTAAGAAAATTAATGAAGTATATAAGATAGTTGAAGCAAGTTAATTTCATGAATCCTGGAGCTAATGAGTGACTGGCTTCGAGGCGAATTTTATAAATGAAAATAAAAATTGTGATTTGTATGGTCACCAGTAACATTGCACTATGATATTGGTCTAGTTTCAGTTTATGTTTTATGATATCGAGACGTTAAAAAAGCGGTTGGTTTTAAGCACCAGTCATCCTAATTACAGGTCCACAAAGTTGAATTAGTTATGCTTCATTGTCAATACTGATGAAGAAGTGTTAATCAACAGTTGATGATTTTATTTCATTCCTTTGCGTTCCGAGTAGAACATAGGACTTCAAGATTTGAAGTTCCAATGGCGGTGGGTTGTTTATCGAGGATAGTCTACTAGACTCACACCCAACCTGTCTTCTTTTCATGGCTGGCAACAGCTTAGTAGGCTTAAGAATCAAACCCAAACCTCCAACATGGTTCACTGGGATTCTGACATTGAACCACCGAAACACATCAAAGGGTAAAGAAACTAAAGTATTGTTAAGCTAAATCGAAATGAACAACACAGAGAGAGATGAATCTAGGAATTTGTATTTGGTAGAATTATTTGTAATTTATTGTTACCTAAGTCTATTTTCTCACCTCTTAACTCTTAATTAATTTCATATATATTCCTATGACAAGTCCGTGTGTGATCAGATTGTTCGAAATGTGTTGCGCAAATACATTAAACGGTTCAGACAAACTACATCGTCTTATTGCTTTGTTGAATACACATAATAAATATTAATAAACAACAACAAGTATTTAAACAATCCAGTAATGGAAATCGTCAATCACCAAAGTTTTCAAACAACTCAACTCTTAACAACTCATTTGTCACTGCCAGCCACAATACCTCTTGCTTTATTGTGTATTAATTTTGGTATATTAAGTTAAACAACAAGATACTGTATTCTTATTGAATAACCTTTGCTCACTGAACTTCATTAGCCAAACTAGAAACATCTATAATATAATTAATAAGCATTTAATAAAAAAAATAATAAAACCATTTAATAACGGGCAAATATTCTTCCCTTTTCGCGACATTAATGTCCACACATTTTGGCTTTCTTTCTCATAGTTTCATATATATTGTTTTTGCACCATGTTTGAATCGGTAGACACAGTTGTCTAAGGTGTTGTCGAATATCAGAATAATAGTAATAGTATCATACTGATCAACTATTTTCTATAGTTTGATTTGTAAGGGTTAGTTATGTTTTTACGAGTTGATCACGGATTGATATCAGTTAGAGAACCATTGAAAACCAGGGAGTACTGGACAGCTGCTGTTTCATCCTAGTTTGGGAATCATCGGCAGTACGCACATGACAATGGTTGGGGTCGCGCTAATTCATGAATTGGTAGGAGTTATAATTCATGAGCCATTGAATTGGGTCCCAGTGGCTAAATGGTATACGACCTAGCCTTTTAACCGGAAGGTCCTGGGTTCTAATCCCAGTGGGTGCGTATTGCCGATGATTCCCAAACTTGGATGAAACAGCAGCTGTCCAGTACTCCCTGGTTTTCAATGGTTCTCTAACTGATATCAATCCGTGACCAACTATTTACCAGCCTACCAAATGCAACACCTTTATTCGCAACTAAACGTCTCATTTATTAGCTGAGTACCAACTGTAAGAAATCTCTAAATACGTCATCCGTAAAAAAGACACATTCTATTCACTTTGTGTCCATATTGTATCTGTTTTTTTACAGCGTTCATTTACTGTCTTCTTGTATTGATGATGACAATAAAAACAGATGTTGATGTATACCTAATTTTCTATGGGTGAACTTAAGTTAATAGAAAGTGAAGTACAAAAGTTGATTTATTTAAAGTGCAGTAATGAAATCAACCCGATAATCAAATCAATACTTTATAGGTATCACTATAATTTAAAATACTCATATCTCTGAATAAAACATAGTTTGGAACTGACTTCTAAGCAAAATTACTAGCTGATTTAATTTTGAAACTGTTTACCTGTGCCTGAATCGTCTCTAGAACTAAACACAAAAAGGTGAATCAGCTAACACTTCGAATCCAATTCAATGATAAGTCAATAAGAGAAAGATTCATAATTACAACTTACGTCAAAAAATATATCAGCATCCTATTAAAATGAGAAAAAATGGTGACGCTAGCCCAAACTGTAAAAAATTACTGTATGATTAGCTAGATATTTTAATCAATTTGTCACGATGGCTTTTAGTCGACTGAGATACTGATATTATTCAGTCACACTTGTGAATTCTCGATGATATTTTTGGAATAAAATGTTTTAACATTTGAGTGCCTTGAGTAGACGCTTTGATACCGTCTTGGTTTTTAATATTAAGCTACTTTTTTGGAGATGGCCATCAGTGAAATTCATGTTGAGCATTTTATTGGTTTTAGGATCCAAAGTGAATCACGCAGCAAAACTGAGGCATCAATTCAAGCGGTATATATGTCTATAATGTCTGTGAAATGTAATAAGTATAAACGAATCATATTAAATCATAACTGTCGTATAAGAGAAGACTCTCACGACTCACTAGGCTAGTGCATAACCCCTTGTCATTTGCACATACCTATGATGCGTCCAGGTATCAGTGAGAAAGTCATCAACATTTCGGATGAAGGCAAACCTAACTAACTAGTCCTAAATGAAACAAAAAGCACGTTCTGATAACCATCATCAAACAGACAACTTCATATTCAACTTTAAAAGCCTAAATTCTTCAGCAAATTGTATATATTTCAGCTACAGTCAGAATAATCTATGTTTGTAAATTTACAGAAAACGAAGCCTGTGTATCTTCAAATGTCACTTACTTGCTATCGCTTCTAAAGCTTACGTTACAACGTATGTTAAAAATATGAGAGGAGGCTTCAAGTTTAAGTAACATGTGAATTTAACACAGAAATAAGACGTAAAAGTTCATTTAATCACTGACACTTTTAATTTCCTAATAGCGTCTGTCCAGTCTATGAATGTGTTTTAGTTGGCTTTCCCCAGCATTAGCTGACAATTTCAACTGATATTCTGATATGAAGTAATTCTATGGATGGTGACTGGAACGGGAATCCAGACGCGTATTCTTCAGTGAGTAATGATGTTCCTACTGTAACTTGAACCCAGAACCCATTTTTTCACGCCCCAAAACCCTATCAGCAAGACTACCTTAGCCATGACAGACACCTCTTATGCAACTGTCATTAGTCACTATTTTCTTGTAATTCAATTTTGATTTTCCATTTGAAAACAAATAATAATTAACGATGTCAGTACTAGAAAAAAAAAACTGCATACAACAATAACAATTTTTTTAATTGGTGGAGTTAAAGATAAAATGGAAATCATCAACTGTCAAATTCAAAGTCAGTTGTGTGTAAGTGAGAGGCAATTCCCTACAAAACCTCAGATCCTTAATTAAATTATTCACGTGGTTTTGAGTTCACACCATCGAATGATCTCAAAGGAGAATGAAACAGTCCTTCGCTTCCTCTGGTTTTCAACACTTCTCTAGCTGATCTTGCCTAGTGGAGGGACTTATTTTTTAGGTCATTACAAATTTCAGTCTAATACCCAGCATGATACTTTATCACAGATATACAATAACATGAGTTTGAAAAACTTACTTGTACTTCATCCATGTATACTTCTTTGTCTTGAAAATACTCTCGTGACTGATGATTCCAGATATTTGAAAATTTGGTTATCAATCTTACTGGTTCACAAATGTCTCTCATTTCTTCATAACTTTTGTGTGATATCACAGGGAGATTATGCAGTTTGTCTATAGTTAATATGATAGGTTTAAATTTTCTTCGCTGATATAAAGACATTAGTGAGGTAGTCAGCTTCATACCAATCAATATGTCTTCAAAACTATTGTCTATTTGTAAAATTACTGAAGACGATGGAGGTAGTTTCGAAGTTGTATGGACATTGTAAACTGTTGGTTTACGTGCTACAATCCATTTTGGTGGATTCAAACGGAATAAATGTCCACTTTGTAGAACTAAACAACATGAACCCCAGTTATCAATAAAATCTCCAATTTTGCTCATTTTTACTGATCTCTGATTAACATTCGTTAAAATATGTGCACTACTCAGAGTTCTAAGGGATGTATTGTTATCTGTAAGACAAACACAGATATATATATATATATATATATGCACGCAAAGTGTCTGATTTAAACTACCATAAGCCTAACAGATTATGAAACTGAGCATTCTTCATAATGTTAAAGAGAAATTATCTAGGTGTTGTGTCCAAAACATCAATTTAACTAATACAGCTAACATTTTTTGGCGTCAGTCAAAATAAAACTGTGTCCTAATTGAAATGATACTCGAACAGACTAGTGATTACATTCTTGATAAAAAAAAGTTAATAAAATGCACTCAACTAATGCCAAATCTCTCTTTCCTTCCCCAGCAATTAATAAAATTTATCTGATTTGGTTCCTGTGCCTAAATCATCAAGTGAACCAAATGTTAAATTTATGCCTATTGCTATTACCTCACCGTTTTTTTTTAAATAATAAAAGAAACTGCTTTTACTCAACCTTGAACCCTCATTGAAGACTTCGAATGATCTTAATCAATTTGCTTATAAGCATAGAAGGTGTCACTGCTGTCTTATATCATAATATTTTTTCTAGTTTAGACAGAAGTGCCAAATATCTTTGGTGTGACTCTTAGATTACACATCTGACTTTGACTCCTCACCTAAGCTTCTTTTGTTAAACAAGCTTGCTGTGAAACAAACAGGCTACTGAACTAGTAAGTGGTTGCATTCTTGCTTTTCTGATAGGAAGAATTAGATTGTTTACAATGGAAATTCCCCCCACTGCTTCACATACTCTAGATGGTTTTCCTTAGCGGGCTGTTCTTTCTAATTTTCTGTTTTCTTTCTTCCTACATGACTTACGCCATTCTGATGAGACCAATTCTGTAAAATATTCCGATGACCTTACTGTTCCATATGCCTGTTACTTCTCAGCCAGATTGTTTGAAATGAATAACTTTTCATTAGAAATCAGTCTATGGTCCTTGTCAAGTGGTTTAAACTAAATTCTTCGTCCAAATGTCAAGTTGTTAATTTCGCTTTCAGATGCAATCACGACTAACATGAACTGGTTCATTCTCATGGTTCCACTATCATAGATAGAACAGAAGTTGAAAGTGTATCGAATATCAAATATCTTAGATTGTGTATTCCCTCTGATCTTTCCTGTCTTCCCACATGATGTTAGTTTCTGAAAAGATATTTTGTCTAATGTTCTATACTAAGAAGTTAAGACTATTTGGTATCACTCAGCCTCTACTTTTGAAATTTGCTAATTCTTGTATTTCCCCTGTTCTTTTTCATTGCTCCTACTTAATCCTTCCTGGGCTACTTAAGAAACACTTTGTTATACTGTGAAGGGTTCTAAAAGCTGTTGGTAGTACGAGTTGAGTATTGCTAAACCACTTTGTTAATACTGTTGTAGGTAGACACATGGACTTCTGCAAGGAATTAACAAATATTATCCTGTCAGACCCTGAGCATCCTCTATGTACGCAAATCTATCCCTGAAGCAACTGCAGAAAACTATATGCTCGAATGACTAAGTATAAAAACTCTACAATACCTAATGTGGCACATATTTTATGTGATGAGAAAAGTGCTATGACGGCCATCACCGTCTAACTGCGTAATACTTAGTAAACGGTCCTCTTTTTTACTTTTATTTTCATTAATATAATGTTAATATTTTCACCCAATCTAATTTTATATTCATATTCATAATGAGCAGTATTATCAGTGGGAATACTCTTGCTTTAATTTTTGCTACTGTAATAAGATAATTAGATGCAGTACTGTACTACATGCTGAAAATTCAATATTTGTACCAAATACTGTTTCATATAAAGCAGTTATTGTTGTCATTGATTATTTGACTTCCCACTTTAATCGACTGATGTCTTGATTGTTTTCAGTAAATGTAACTAGTCAAACAAATTTCCTCACTTCTTAACTTTAACAACTTTCATCGTGCAGATCCTTCCAGTTATTTTGATTTACCTGTAAGTAACTTAGTCATCCTTTAGTCTGTTATGGTTTACAAAGTACGCTACATTTTTGACAGCCATATCTCATAGTTGCGTTTTCATTAATAAATGGTTATCGATGTTAAGGTCATTGGAGATTTCTTTTCTCAAATTAACCTTTATCATTATAATTTTATCCCGTAGAATTTCTAGCTACAAACTCATTACTATTCTGATGCATCTAATTTGCATGACTAATTTATGCAATGCATGAAAATGAGTTTTGCACTTTAGAAAGAGAATTCTAATTTTATCTTCCATTTCTTCAATACCTGAAGAAATCAGATATAAGTTATTAGGAATGGCTGGCATTTAAAAATGAATATTCTAAGAAATATGTCTGCAGAAAATTGTAAATTTTACTTTCAAATGTTCATCAGTGATCTAACTGCAGAATAATTAACAAACAGTTTTGGACATAAAGCCTCGGTGCTAACAAAATTATTTCTATAAATTGTTTCTTTTTGGTTAGGAGGTTTAGTGCCCAAACGTTTCGTTGTTAAATCTTCACTGTTAATCAGAATAGTTAAATCAAACAAGCTTTCTCGTCTGGTTTTTATTTCCAATATGATACTGCATCATTTAGCCGATGATCGTAGAAAGTCTATTTAAATGCACCACAATACAGATGTATATTGGTTTAACCCCTCATATTTAATCATGATCCCAGTTTTTTCATTGTGCTTAATTTATTGTCAATGCCTACCGAGAGATACATGAATAAGGAAAATTCAGGACTTAGAATATCATACACCTTTGGACCAATAGTGTACACTCACAAATTCATGAAGTCGTTTTACAAATTTATTTACTGATTTCTGTCAAACGGTTAACACTTTGATGTATGAAAACTTACCACCTCTGTATGTCTAACTGTTAACTCCTGTCAGGTTCAGAAAACAGTTTTCTTATTTTTAATAATGCAAAAGACGCACAGTTTCGCTCACACTTTTACTTGTAGTGCACATTGTACCCTTCAACTTTTGTTTAAACTTGCTCACCAATCGTTTGGCACATCTTTATCTTTTGAGTTGTGACTCTTCCGTACGTTCATTGGTTCGCTCTTTCATTGTGCATTCATTCTGCACACTCTCCGAGCCTACCACCAGTGACGTCAGCAGATAAGTTGGACAACCTCTTTATTTATCAAATTTCATATTTCGTTTGTGTAAAATCTAACTGTCCCAGATACACTTGTCATATCAAGCCTTTTTGCCTTGATTCGGTTCGTCAGTATTTGCACGTTAAGCAGAGTACAGCTAAGGTCATAAAACGGTGAAGAAGTTTCGTAAGAGTGTTTAGAATTGAGGTCTACCCTTACATACTAAATGCAAGCTAATGCTGTATCGTTTCTTCTACTAGTTTACTCGATAGTCATAGTGATTTTTATTGTAAAACTTGTTAGCATACTGGAAAATAGTGTGTAAAACTTCGGTAGTAGTGTGTAATTTATTTATTTACATGTATAACACAATAAGGTAGCTTAAGGAATTACGATTCCAACACAGTTTTTGTCTTAGTAGTTAAAATGTTTTAATGTAGAGTGATAGAATGATGACAAAGTCCTAGAACAGAGTAAAATATCAAAATTAACCTAATAAAGTATCCTTAAGACTAAGAAATTCCCATTTCAATGAAAATTTGAGCTCGTACAGATTTTAAGATATCCATCTCGGATATTCTGAGTTGAGACTCAAGGGAACTAGTCTCATGAATTAGATTACTTTTAATGCGATTAGCGCCTAACCGGTTGCGTTCTACAGCAGAGTGTATTTGAATTTCTACTGACACTCCTACCATACTTATGTACCTCAAATGAATCATAAAATACCAAACTTACGTTTTATAGTATCCTTTTTTACTTCTAATGTCTCTTCATGCTCTGTATGAATGTGATTAACATCGAAACTTGTCTTTTTCATGTTAGATGAATCTCTGCAATAGGTCTTCAGTACATCTATCGTAGACCGGACATCATTTAGTCCTATACTATTTGTTGAATTGTCGTTTACTTGACTATTCATATTATTTTTACCACTTACAGATCTTGGTCTGTCAAATCTCGTTTGAATAGAGCATTTATCTCGTTGATCCCAGCATTTAACTCGAATACCACCATTTTGTGTTAAATTCCAAAAGTTTATAATTGTCTCATCTGTAATTACAATTGGTATTTGTTCAGTCCATGTGATCCATAAAGTCTTATCGAATTCACAGGGTGTTGTCATTTTCGATGTACAGTTAGTTGGATATATTTTTGCAATTGATTTTGAAAATATTACCACATCAGTAGAAAAAATATAGTCCTCTCGATTTAATATTGAAAATTCCAAGTGGAAATACATAAAGTTAGTATGTACTTTATTTGAACTTGATGAACTTGAATTAAATGATTTAGGTCTATTTACTACAGGTTCTTTGTTTATTAATCTTCTAGGATCAACTCCTAATACGAATGTCAGTATAATGTCGGTTATATGCTCCTCTTCACATTCGTCTTCATATTCTGATTCATCACTATCATCCCCATACTTTTTATGATCTAATTGTTTTTGCCGACGCTTTTGACGCTGTCTGACTGAATCTGAATAAGGCAGTGCATGAATTATATGTGGTAGTGTTGATGATAAAGACCATTCACTTGTATTAGTTATACTAGACATAGTGCTTTTGCATACTGATAACTTTATTAACACTAGCACTTTTAATATTTATAGTCTTAATCGAAAAAACCTTCAACCAATAACACCTTATATTTATTTGATTGGTTAAGCTTCATTTTACTGTATATTTTTCTCAGCAAAAGAATAAAATTATGCAGAGTATCGGCATCTTTTATCAGATAACATGAGAATTCCTGATACGTGAAAACCAATAAAATAGGGGTATTACATTTCCCCACAAAATGACCAGTTGCTATTACATCCACCTTCATAAAACAAAGTGACTAACAGTAATATTATGATCTAAGACATCATAGAAGTATTACTCCACGTTACCTGTTCAGAATTCCTCTATCAGTAATCAGAATCTTCCTTTCATCATCTATAGGTTTCACAATCTACCGTTTAATTCTAACTACCTTCACGAATTTCAGCCGCTGAAGAAATAACAGTTTTATTTTCACTTTAAGGGGTATACTCAATTTGGTACCTAGAAAAATCGATGCCGCATAATGACGTGCTTGGAATAAGCTCTTCAGTTTCGAATATGTTACACTGATATTTTAAGACATTGCTAAATAGGAAATTTATAAAGGTTTCTAAAGTAATAAAAACTTATTTCCCAAAGATTCTCTGCCTGATATCCTTTCTTGACGAAATTTACTTTAAAATCAAAACTCGTAGCGTAATTAAAGAAGAGAGCTTCGAATTCAAACTTTCACTTAAAGAGGCTACTTTCATGAAACTCATCACCACTTCAGAGACTCCTTGGAAATGAAAACATCCTAATTCTGACACATAAAAAGCTAATTAAACTTCATTTTTCTTTGCTTAGATTTTAGTTGAATGACAGAAAATTTATTTTTGTATCCAACTCTTTTTATATCACTCTTGTCGTCCCATAGTCGTTTAATGAATTAATAAAGGGTGAGAATGTATTTTTCAGTAATTTCATTAAATTTATTGTGATAATATTTAGAAGACAAGTTGTTTGGGGAAGTGTTTATTTTTTATAGTCATGTCAAAATTTTAAGTACGAACTTTTAATGCACACTTATCATTTGCTCGTTTATCTGTTTGATTTTTTTATTATAACTTGATTCCACAAAGTATTCTGGTACACTTATGGCATTTTCAGCATGTGATATCGGTAGCCTAAATTTAGAAGGCCAACCATTTGATATCAGGCATGATTCAGCGGGGATCGAGCCCCAGACCATCTGCATGGGCTACCGATGCACATTATATTAGGTAAAAATGCCCGTAGTGTAAAAGAGACTTCCCTCAAGAGCCCATTAGTTATTTACCTGTAACCATTCCATGTATATACTACCAGCCACTTAAGTTCTACATTTAAAGATTTGATTAATATTGCATAAAAGGAAATTTATTTTCTGAAATTACCATCAGCATATGTAGCCTGCAGTGCAAATATACTTCTGTTTCTCAGTTCTCGGGTATTCTAGGTATGACTTTATATCAAAAGGTAAATGTCTTGCTACTACATACAGATTTTCTTCCCAAAAAAAACTGCCCTCAGAAGCTTCAACGCAACAGATGTAAGTACAGGCAGTCAAAAACGAACAACAGTGAGTGAAACACAGTAGTGGAATGCAAGCATTAATATAACATGATGTTATATAGTAATTTTTTAGCATGATAATATAGGTGCATGTGAAATAATTAAACTGTGATGATAAGAGTTCACTATCGATTAAATAAGCTGCTTACTCACCTCTAGTAATCCAGGGTGCTTTAATCTTCACATTAACAAGTATATATACGAACAGTCTTCACTACATTTTTGCACATTATCCATGCTGTTTAGGGCAAAGGCCTCAACTCAACAACTCCTAAGCAGATAAGCTAGTGTAACTTCTTTCAAATAACTTATCTTTTTCCTCACAACTACATCATTTTCCTAAACACATATTTTGTTAATGTTGTTAGTTGTCATAAGTGATAATTAGGTTTTCACTTATATACACAGATTTGCACAAAAGTGACACGTATGCTATTCTAAGTGTCCAGTACTTTCTTGTGTTGGTATTTACTCTGTATTGCTTTTCTTAAGATACCATTTGTTTCTCATTATAGACTTTATCATTTGGTACCTTTTGTTTCGTTATCGCTATGCTTATTTCCATGATACCAAGCTATCTCACTACAGCTAGAAAATTAGGACTTTCCAGTGTACATACTAGTCACTGTACATAAAATTCGTTTCTGTGCCTGTAGCTGTCTTCATGTTTCACCTTAATGAAAAAGGAATTTCCTTTACACGAAACATTATAGCATCTCTATGTTAACTCCTACTGTACGCTTACAAAACTAATCCGGGGCTCGGTTCCCTGCCAACGTACACCTGATATCAATGGTCGGCCTGCATAATTTGGGCTATCATATATCACATACTGAAAACTCCATACTTGTACCAAAAATACGGTGTGGAATCAAGCTATAATCAAAGTTTTTAAAAAAATACGTTAACAGAAACTGATTTTACATATACTTATCGCATATATGCTATTGTACTATTGAACATTGGTTCTCGTCTGTTGTATATTTTTGCGCAGTCACACACTTTTGGGTTCGCCTCACATTTTTCGAAATTTGATTTTGTTAACAGTACATCTTTTCAAGTTTTCACTTGTGCTTCTTAATACAATTAATTAGTATGTGACGTGTACAGCATTATCACATAGTAGAAGGAGAAAACGTGGATGTACTACAGTATTATAATCGGAATCATACATAGTACTCTATAAAATTTTACAATTAACTAAATCTAACCTAATTATTGGGATTTTCCCAGCTCTTTCTATACAATTCATATCCACTCCTTTTAGTTTAGAGTGAAGCATAAAGTTTCAAGCTTTAGGCTTTATAGTTTTAGTAGCGTTCGGGTCGTTTTTACAGGGTAGGGTTGCTAGCCTCACAACAAAGCTAACCTCTTTTCTTGGTCTACTAACAATCGGGAGGGGTTTTAGGAGTGAGTCGACCAAGAATCCTACTATGACGACCAGGTGCATGGCTGCCCAGTATTCTAACCCTGAACTATCCATTAAGTGATAACATCAGTTGATTCATTCAGTTCAAGAGCATGGAGGAAATCTGAATAGAAAAATGTTCGGTCCCCTAAATCAACATTTAAAATATTGCACTTGCGTTTAGTGATAAAATTAAACGACAGGCTCAGTGATAAGCAGTGGAGCGAATTGAACGATATTGTATCTGGATATAAAAAACAACTGAGTGAAGTTTAAAGGTGCGACACATTGCATTTACGAATATTAAAACCGCTTACCTTAATTCGACTGCCCTCCTACTTACTTCTCATACTGTGTACTCCACGTTTGCTTAATTACACAGTTAACAAGTTTTATGCAATCAATATCTTTACCTCTTTCTATATGAAACAGAATTTGACCTAGTCCTTCCCAACTTTATTCAAGAGATCTGAAAGTCTTAATGAGTCATTTTTTCCTACCTCTAAAGCCTAGTATGATAAATGTTCCCATCAGTACTTTTATAACAGCAGCATGTACACTGAATCCAACTCTTGTTAATTGATTGTATGGACTGACACGTTGGTGGAGCTGCGACTTTTGGATTTCATTCAAAGCACGTTCTAATTCTGTTACATCAGTTGCATGCGTGTGGTTTTAAGGATGACAAAATAATCAAGGTAACATGTTGATTTTGTTGTTATTTTATTCGAATTATGATTTGTTAACATGTTTCCTGTCCCTGCAGAGTTGTGTTTAATACTAATTAAAACTGTCACGTAAACAGTTGACATCAGACACACAAAGTACTCGTGTGAATGATGCTCCCTTGGGTTGTGATACAGACACGTCATCTGTCATCTTTATGTATGTATTTCTTTCACACAATCCCTAGAATTATATCTTGTTATCGAGCGCCTTTAAATAAATAGCATTTAGTAGTATTTGCTACCAGCAATATATATAAAGCTTCAACAACGTGGTAGTAGCTGTAGTGCAACTTCCAATGTTTGAAGATTTCGTTTTAACGTATACATGTGGAGTATGTAACAATATAATTGTAGATTTTTTGTTAGATGTTGAAATCAGAGACATTTTACATGACTTTTGTTTAAAACGATTCATGCTGAAATACAGATAACCTCCGAGTACCATCTGAAAAAAAAGTGTACTGTTGGTAGCTTTGCCTTCTCACTCGTCATTAGTGTCTATTTGCTCCACTCACACCGTGTTGTATACTTTGGATTTATTGCAGGAATCTATTATCCTTATCCGAAGACAACTCTACAACCGGCACACAGCTTCCACCAGTAGACACGATTCCAACAGTTAACACTTTTGTGGATTATATTGATGATTTGTAGCAGCGGACTTTAACAGTATATCCAAATAACCTTTTAATCAATATAACTCATTACTGTATTTTTGATAATATACTGTTACACTATCATCTCAATAACTTAGATTTTTATTCGTGTATTTGCTATATTATTGAGCCCACTAGACAGTCCCCTACATACACATTCGGACTGGATGCACTGCCACTTTGCGCTTTTTCGTTGTGCTTTCAACACGCACATTATTCTAGTTTGTAATACAGCCACATTTGTTAGATGAGTTCTAAATATTTTCCCTGGTAAATCTTCACCCTTTATTTTGCGCAAATGTTCTACTCACCAGACCACATTTCCAACTAACCAATTCTTTTTAATTTGTGTTTCGTCACCAGTGATTACAGGTTCGGTAGTGTATTGATAACCGATCAACGTTCACAGTTCCTCGCAGTTATTCTCGCCCTAACGCGGGAATTCAGTGCGTAACTCTGCAGATATCGAGTTCAGAGGTAAGTGACTCGTACGAGTTGCTCCAAGCATCCCTCCTCAGGAGAAAATTTCTCACGGATCGACAGCGCCTGGACGAATTATTTCGTAACATCAAGTTAGGGGATCAGTCAGCCGTAAGCATGCTGACAAGAATGGGAGAGGTTATTGGCCAAAGTCAGTTCGATGAGGGACTC